GGGGCATTATCTCCTATGGAAATCAGAGTATATGGAAAACTGCAAAGATACTGCCAATTGAAATGCACAAACTGGCAATGGATGGAATTTAGATATGTTAACAGGGAGCGGTAATTATGTTGTTGAGGATGCACAAATGTGGTAGATGCAGGTTTCTATGCTCAAATCCAAGCAGCTGCCACTAAGGCATGGAGAAAACTGCCCAGTAAAGGGGATCTAAGTTCCTCCCTCACTAACATTAAACAAGGGCCGGACGAGCCTTTTGCAGAATTTGTCAACTGCTTGCTTACAGCAGCTGGGAGGATCTTTGGCAATGCTGATGCAGGTACAGATTTTGTTAAATAATTGGCTTTTGAAAATGCTAATGCTGCCTGCCAGCCTTCCATTAGACCATACAAAAAGAAAGCTGATTTGATGGGCTATATAGGCCTCTGTTCTGACATTGGGTCTGCTTATCAACAGGGTCTTCCCATGGCTGCTGCCCTTCAGGGACACACAGTTAAACAATTTTTATCTCAACAAAACAAAATCAAATGTTTTAACTGTGGAGAGGCTGGCCATTATGCAAAGAACTGTAAAAAGAACACAAAAACAAGCTCCAAAAGCACAAATTGTAGTGCTAGCCTCCCTTTTAGGGTCCAACCTGTAACCTTCAAAAATTCTTCCTGTATACAAGGAAGCTTCCACAATGATAGCTTCACTGTTGATGTTGGATTTGTTACCTTTACCAGCTGCAATCAAATACTTAACTATAGTAGCCCTATTTGCCCAAAAAAGGGACATGTGTTTGTATGTGGGGGAAGTTTAGACTTTACATATTTACCTACCAACTAGACAGGACTATATGTCATGGCTACCTTGTTGCCTGACATAGATGTCATATCTGGAGAAAAGCCCGTGCCCATTCCTAGCTTTGACTATGTCACGGGCTGCACTAAAAGGGGAGTTCAGCTTATCCCTTTGTTGGTAGGACTGGGAATTACAGGAGCCCTAGGAACAGGTACAGCAGGTTTGGGAGTAGCAGTACATTCTTATACTAAATTATCTAATCAGATGATTGATGATGTTCAAACACTGTCTGGTACTATCCAAGATATCCAAGACCAGATAGATTCATTAGCAGAAGTAGTCTTGCAAAATAGGAGGGACTTAGACCTTCTAACAGCAGAGCAGGGAGGGATCTGCTTGGCTTTACAGGAACGCTGCTGCTTCTATGCAAACAAGTCCGGTATTGTTCGAGACAAAAATAAAGAGACTTCAAGAAGATCTTATTAAGAGGAGAAGAGAGCTATTTGAAAACCCCTTCTGGGGCACATGGAATGGAGTACTACCCTACCTTCTCCCCCTATTGGGACCCTTGATTGGACTATTAATACTTTTATCAATAGGACCCTGTCTTTTCAATAGGCTGATGACTTTCTTTAAACAACAATTGGATGCCATTAAAATGCAACCCATACAGGTCCATTACCATAGGCTTGAGATGGCCAACAGAGAAAGTTGTGCTGAACTTGAAAGAGTACACTGCAATGATGCCCAATCTGGGTAAAGAGATTTTCTCACCTTGGTGCGATGGACTGGATAGCCAGAGATGGGCAACTAGAGGCTCATATGTGGTACCAACCACCACCTAAGACAGGAACTGGGCCTTCCGCTGCCCTGCTTTCCTATGACGGGAAAGGTCTGGTTTGGCCCCATGTGAAAGCATCTTGACCCAAGGCAGGCACAGTCCCCTCAAGGAGTAACGGCCTTTGGAGTTAAAGTAAAAAGGGGGACCTGTGGGAAGCCGTTAAGTGGTATCCATTTTATAATAGTGTCAGCCATTTTCTTAAGTTTCTATTCCCCTGCTGAGTTTAGTTTCTGCTCCTTCCCCCCTTGCCCATTCACCGTGAATCACCTGCTATGCCCCAGGGGTGGGACCTTCCTCCGTTGCTTAGATACCTGCTGATGTCAAGAGCCAAGACTTCCTCATTCCTACACTCCCTTTATATACCCAGCACCTCCCCTGAATAAATGAGACTTGATCAGAATCCTGTCTTGTCTCCATTCTTTGTGTCTCCTGTCCCTTCTCATCCCCACTCCCCCTCTAGGGTCTTCGTTGACTAATCCACGGGTCTGGACAGAAGATGAAAAGGAGGAGAGAAAAGCAGGACAGGATCCCATCAAGGAGTAAAAGAAAATTAATAGTATTAGAAAATAGACACAGAAAAAAACAAGAAAAAAAAAAACCAGACAAAATATGGGAAATTAAAAGAAGTAAAAAAGAATAAAGAAAAAAGTTACAAGAGAAAATGAAAAACAGAAAAAAGGGAAAAGGGAAAAAAATTGCCCAAATACTGATAGAAAAAAAAAAAAAAAAAAAAAAAAAACAGTGCCAGGTGTGGTAGCACACACCTGTAATCCCAGCATTTGGCAGACTGAGGAAGGAGGATTGCAATGAGTTTGATGCCAGCCTGGGCTACAAAGTCAGTTGAAGTCCAGCCTGAACTGCATAGCAAAACCCTGTCTCAAAAAAAAGTATTTTGAAAGAATTAAAAAAATTAGTCTGTGTGTGTGTGTGTGTGTGTGTGTGTGTGTGTGTGTGTTTTATGTATTTAGGACAGGGTCTACAGGGTCTCACTACATAGATCAGACTCAGTGATCCTCCTGTTTTCAACCTCCCAAGCACTGGGATTACAAGGTTGCCCCAAACACCCAGTCTGAATCACCATCTGAGTGCGTCCCAGGGGTTAGGCCAGCACAGCACGTATTCTGTGTTTTTGAATGAGTGGTTGCTTTCCAGAATCCAGAGTCTTTTTTTTTTTTTCCAGAATCCAGAGTCAGCAAAACCAGGAAATCATAGTTTTCTCTTCCTAGCTTTAGGCCTGTGGGTCTATGAGGTATCGTCCCTGCACCCCAGACTGTGGTAACTATTCAAGCCTACATCTTTGTTTATGTTGGTAGGTGGGAAAAGCAATCAGCCCTCTGGTCTCTCTCTGGATGTATGCCACAAGGAGGGGTTCAAGTAGACTGTTGAACTTAATGTCAACACTTGCCAGGCCTGGTTTCTCATTATGAAGGACAGGACCTGTGTCCTTCTGAGCCTAAGCTTGAACTTTGAAGAGGTTCTATTACAGAGATCCCTTCCTGAACCTCATCATGGTCCAGGGAGTTTATATTTGTAATCCCATGGAAAAGTTACTGGAGCCCTCATGATGTAATTTCAGTCTACCACTACCAGTGTGATACAAGGTGAGAGTAAAGATGCTAAGGCATATTTATAGTTGAGGGGAGCCAAGGGGGTCCTAAGTCTAGCTAGGGTGATGGTTAACAAGAACAAAGCCCATGACACAGAGCTGAACCAAGGTTTTTATTAATTTGTCAGGAAGGGAGTGGCTCAGGGATGAGTGACTAGTTTTTTTTTAACGGAATTTGTTTTTTTTTCTTTTCTTTTTCTTTCTTTTTTTTTTTTTTGTTGGTGGAACTGGGGATTGAACTCAGGCCTTTGTGCTTACCAGGGAAAAGTGCTTATTCTACTGAGCCATCTCCCCAGCCCCCAAGTGACTATAGTTGTGGCAGGAAGTACAAGAGTGAGCTAGGCTAGGTAGGAGGCCTGAAATCACAACTGTAATTTGCAGAGAGAGAGAGAGAGAGAGAGAGAGAGAGAGAGAGAGAGAGAGAGAGAGAATGCAGAAAGAGTAATCTGCATAACACAACTGGAGGCAGTATCTAATGTTTTGGGGTCAGTGCTTCAGGTCTGATGTGAAATTTGGTATGCCCTGGGAAGTCATAGCCTCTTATCTTGAGGCTCAATGAGCCAACAGTGTGGAGCATAGAGCATGGCTCTTTCTCCCACTCAGCTTATACATGTTTTGGGGAGCTATGGGGTGAGGGTGGGGCATCACTGATCTGTCAGCCTGCTCCAAAGACTACATATCTGCCCCTAGGCTAGACTGATTTGCATTGCTTAAAGCCAGTTGAAGGCATAAGGAAAAGTCCTAATCAGTTTTGTACATATCTGTGCATCGAAACAGGACCAGGTTTAGCTAAAATGGAGATAATTGCTCTTCGTCCAAGCATAGTCATCCAGGTGGTCCTCCACAGTCTGTGTCTAATCCATGGTGGTTTCCTGTGGTTGTCTCACCCAGTCACTTTGGGGGGTAATACTTGAACCTCTGAAGCTGCTGGCCAAGTGCATACTTTCTCCCTGCATCTGGTGGCCCTGCAGGCTTATCTTCTCTGCCAGAGGCATTGGCCTGAGCCAGGGTCAGATTGATCAGTTAGTCTATACCTCTGCTGCTCATGCCAAGAAGAAACAAAATGCAGAGCTGGCTAACACTTGGGTGGTGGCTGTAAAATCCACAGGCACAGAATTGATTGAGGGTCAATAGAGAGGCTCTATACAATGTGTGTGTGTGTGTGTGTGTGTGTGTGTGTGTGTGTGTGTGTGGTTGCATGTTCACATGTGTCCATCAGATGAATTGGTTAGCTCTTCCTATGCATTTGAAAATAATGGCTTGATTTCAAGAAATTATAGTAAGATTACATAAGGAGCTGCAAGTAGAGTTGCTTTCTTTAGAAAAATACATAATTCTGTAGAAAATAAGGCATAAAAAGTAACATGATATCAGAGACAGAGACTGAGATAGGTCTATAGTAAGTCAGTAGCTTCTGAGCCTTTAACAACACACTTCTGTGGGATTTCTTGTAAATAAGCACAGAACATCTCAACACTAATCATGTCCCAACAATTTAGAGCTGTCAGGAACCTGGCTTGGTTTCCCTTAGGTTAGTACTCTTCACGTTCTGGTCAGAGAAATAATGAGAAAAAGTGTGCAGAAATGAAGAGGTAATAAATAATACAGAATTTTCTTCCTCTCTCAGCCAACTTCCCTTCCTTTCCCTAGGAGCCTTTTCAGGGCCCCCTTCACTTCTTTATTTCTTAGAGTGTAGATAAGGGGATTCACCATAGGTGTGACCACAGAGTAGAACAGGGAAATGAATTTTCCCTGGTCCTGGTTGCTGCTCTTAGCTGGAACCAGATACCCATAGATGGCTGAGCCATAGAAGAGGAACACCACTACCAAGTGGGAGAGGCATGTGTTGAAGGCTTTTCGCCGTCCCTCTGCAGAGTGGATCTTCATTACTGCCCGAGCAATGAAGCAGTACGAGGTGAGGATGGTGCTTAGTGGGACAGCAGTGAAGAAGGTGCAGACACCATTGAGTACAGCCTCATTGAGGCTAGTGTCTCCACAGGCCAGTTTGATCATGGCAGGCACCTCACACAGGAAGTTGTCCACCCTCCGGTGCCCACAGAAAGGGAGCTGCATGGTGAATGTTGACTGGATTAAGGAGTTGCCCAAGCCACCCAACCAGCTAACTGCAGCCAGCAGCCAGCAACGTCGAGGATTCATGATGGTCATGTAGTGCAAGGGCCGACACACTGCTACATAGCGGTCAAATGCCATCACCACAAGCAAGATGCACTCTGTGGCCCCCAGCCAAAGGAAAACATACAGCTGAGTCATACAGCCACCATAGCTGATAGTCTTGTCTGGTCCCCATAAATTGACCAGCATTTGGGGGACTGAGCTTGTAGTAAATGCCAAGTCCAGGGAGGAGAGGTTGCTGAGGAAGAAGTACATGGGTATGTGCAGCCGGGAATCCACATGGGAGAGCAGGATGATGGTTGTGTTCCCAGAGAGGGTCAACAAGTAAGAGAAGAGGATGAGTACAAAAAAGATCATTTCCAGCTGGGGATGGTCAGATATACCCATCAGAATGAAGCTCCCTGAAGAGCTGTTACTGCCCACTTCCATCACTCTGCTCAGAGAAAAGTGCTGGGAGGAAAGGAGAGACACTACTCATGGATCTGCATCAGGAAAAGCCTAATGGTTCTCTAGGATCCATATTTAATTTAATTATCAATCCAACTTTTTTTCAATGTATTTAGTACAGGGTTTATAAGATCTGACTACACAGATCAGACTCATAGTGATCCTCCTGTTTTCAGCCTCCCAAGTGCTGGAATTACAGGTGCATGCCACCATACCCAGTCTCAGTCACCCTTTCAGCACTCTGTGGGGGCAGGGCTGGCAGGACATGCTGGGGATCAAACCCCAGTCTCTGCGCCTGCTTAAGCAGGCACTTAAGTCCACCTAGCTTCAGTACAACTTTTATGGTTGCAAACTTTCATTGTAATTCCCAATGACTGTCTGTTATATTAGAATGTCCAACATAGGCTAGCATAGATATGAAGGAAATGTCTTATGAAGACAGAACAAGATTAGGGCTCTATAGTTCAGAAAAATGGTTAAACAGGACAAAGAAAGTTGATCATTACTGATAATGAAATCCTCAAAATACAAATTTGCTCAGCCAAGTTTTGATTTGCTCAGGGAAAGAGAAAGAAGATACACTGTACTTGGAAAAGCCACCCAGAAGTTTTTCCTGATAGAGAAATATGAAGTTGGGGGAAGAATATGAGTATAAAATTATAAAAAGGATGGGAAAGCTGTGTATATTTACCAAATACAGAAGCTATGAATATGTGAGCTAAGAAGTAAATGTAGAATAAACAAAGTTTTATGTAGTTGATATCAGTTTAGGTAGAACAGGCTACAGATTTAAACAGAGCTTATGCAAAATGGAGTTAAATCAGTTAATATGTATGTATGATTAGTAAGGGAAACTATATTTCTGAGCAGATCCTTGATTTGTTGAGGTACATAGATACTCTACCCACCTGTAAACTATGGAATAGATCTTCACAGTTCACTAGCCAGTTCTGGTTAAAAATAGGCCAGTTGCCATCTTCTTTCCTTGGGCAGGATATAGGCTTTTTTGAAGATCATAAACCAAGATTCTTTTTCCTTTGTCAACTGTTTAGTAAATGAATCTGAAAAGAAAACAGAAATAATCTTTGGGTCATGTTGACATTGGCAGTTGGGAAGTAAGCCTGCCTCTTTCTCTGCACTCTGACTGGTCCCACAGGAGCTGTGGCTACTAGCCCAACAATGAAAGATGCTACTTACAGGAGGTTATACATATGCTTAGGTACCTGTGTACCAGTCAAGGGCCACTTGACCACACTCTTGGCTTAAAAACCATAGGAACTTTTTAAAAAAAAATCTACATGTAGTATACATATAGGAGATTCTGATACTAGAATCCATCCAGGAGAAGAGGAGAATATCTTTTAACTTTTTAAAAGCAGCAGTGGAGTCCATCTACATCTCAGCCCATCTGAGTCAAGGATAATGAGACTGAGGACATTTTGCTAGGTGTGGCAGCACACACCTGTAACCCAGCACCCAGGAAGCTAAGGCAGGAGGATCACCATGAGTTTGAAGCCAGCCAGGAGTACATAGTGAGTTCAAGGCCAGCCTGAACTTCACAATGAGACTTTGTTTCAAAACAATGAAAACAAACAACAGAGGACATTCCAACCCTCCTTCTTACCGCTGTTTAATAGCTTAGGAAAACACTAGTGCTTACTTTTTTCATCTAAGATTTAAGAGAGCTAAGGAACTCAGTTGCCAACTTAATTTTGTTCTGAAGTTTCTTCTAGCAAAATGCTCAACTTCTTGAATCCCTATATGGGAAAGAGACAGTAGGTACTGCTGTGTGTCCTCCCTGAGTTTATAGTGTGTGGGTGCCAGTGCTCTGTGGCTGCTCAGTAGTGCCAGAGTTCTTCCAGTCCTTCCTCTGTGCCAACTGAGCAGCTATTAGCCCAGGAAAAAAAGACCCAAAATGGAAAAAGGACTCTACTGCCAGAGTATGGAAGCTGCTCAGCAAGTTCAGGAGGAAATACCAGATCAGCTGGATTCATGGTCTGAGCTTGACATCCTCTAGAACATGGGATTATAACTTGGAGTTTAGGCTGGGCCTTGGCCCCCCTATGATTGGGTATGAATGGAGCTGCAGGCGCGTAGGCTGAGATTGTGGACACACAACCAAGCATCCGAGGCAGTGAATAATAGCTCTTCAAGTCTGCAGTAAAAAACAGCTTTCCATAAAACGTTGCAGAAAATGGGAAAGAAGCAAAATGGAAAAAGTAAAAAAGTAGAGGAAGTAAAACTTGAAAAGTTTGTGGTAGAAAAAGTACTGGACTGATGTGTAGTGAATGGACAAGTGGAGTATTTTCTGAAGTGGAAGGGATTTACAGATACTGACAATACATGGGAACCTGAAGAAAATTTAGATTGTCCAGAGTTAATTAAAGCTTTTCTTAATTTGCAAAAAGCTGGTAAAGAAAAAGATAGTACAAAAAGAAAATCTTTATCTGACAGTGAATCTGATGATAGCAAGTCAAAGAAAAAAAGAGATGCTGCTGACAAACCTAGAGATTTTGCTAGAGGTCTTGATCTTGAGTGAATAATTGGCACCACAGATAGTAGCGGAGAATTGATATTTCTCATGAAATGGAAAGATTCAGATGAGGCTGACTTGGTGCTGCTAAAAGAGGTAGATATGAAATGTCCTCATATCGTAATTGCTTTTTATGAAGAGAGACTAATTTGGCATTCTTGCCCAAAAGGTGAAGCTCAATAACTTCATATAATATGGATCTTGGTTTTGATTTACTAGTGTGGAAAAAAACATTCTAATGAAAATCAAGTTTAATGTCAGTTTTGAAAGTAGTATTTGGGAGAGTTGTTGGTTTTGGCTTTGCTTTACAAAAACAAACAAACAAACAAACAAAAAACAGGATGAGCCCTGGTTACTTTGAACAAATAAATAAAGCTTTTTGTAGTTGCTTCCTTTATAAAAAATAAAATAAAATAAAATAACTTGGAGTTTATATGTAGCAACTCAATTTTTTTGGTCTCAGGAATTGAACTCAGGACCTTACACTTGCCAGGCAGGCACTATGCCACTGAGCTATGTCCCCAGCCCTTGATTTTCTCCTGTAAAAAATCAGATTTTCTTCGATCTGAGAGTGTTTACCCAGAAGGACTCGCATTTTAGGAAAAGCCAAGAGACAGCAATATTGACCTCTCCATCCTAGAAGTAATGTGTGATTTATAGCATAATTTAAGGATGGAAGCACCTTCCAGGAGGATCATTTTGGGACAGAAAGATTTTTATGAACCACTCATAGCATGCACAGATAGTTCTTGCCTCTGCTTGCCTATAAGTTTGAAAGTTTCAGATTTTGAGAAGGGCAGCCAAGATTTGCTTCTCAAAGAGAATCCTGGATTTTGTAGTTTCCCACCTTCACCAGTGTTCTGCTCATTTCTTCCTTAAAGTTCACAGCAACTCCCAAGTGTCCATCTCTAGATCAGCCCTAGCGCGTCTGCCATTTGGGCTTGGTCTTCTCCTATCACAGAAGTTGCTCCCGGCTGTTAGCATTCCCTGTAGAAGAAGGCATGTTCTCAGACTTGAAGCCTTGCATTAACAGTAGATAAACAATACAGATAAAAGGAATCATTAAAAAATAAAACCAACCTAACTGCATTCCTGCTCTTAACAGAGAAATTTTAAACTATGTTTTATTTTTAAATATTTTATTTATTTGGGAGATGGTTAGTGGTGAAATTCCTGGATATTCCTAGTTTGTGCCTGACTGTCTTGAATATGAAGTCTCAGTTAATATTTTCTTCACCTGGTCAAAATTGGAGATATGTTTACATTTTTCAAAATGTTATTGTTGTGGCAGTGAGGCAAGCAAGAACCGTGAAACAAAGTTTATCTAGAAGAGTAAAGTCTGAGTTAAAATACAATCAAAGCCACTTTAATCAGGACAATTAAAAATTTGACAAAGTAAAAAAATTTTTTTCTTCCTAAATCTTAGGATTCAAGAATTAGAGATAAGAGAGTTTGATTCAGAAAAGAGGTAAATTTAAGACCAACAGGAGAAAAAAAAATTCACTATTAATAGTAAAGTTATGGGGGTCCTGCCCCTTAGCTCAGTTCTTTAAGTGGCTGCTTCAATAAAGCAGTCAGGCTGAGGTTGCTGTTGTTCGATCCCCTCAACTCAAGCCAGCCAAACCTGCCCTGAAGGCATTCGGAGAAAAAAAAATAGTAAAGTTATGGAAATTACTCTCCTAAAAGGTATTGCAGTTTAAAACTTTAAAGCTTAAGAAAGAGTTACGATGAGTAACTATAATGGGTAATCAATACTATTTGGAAGGGATGATAACTTTCAACATTCACATCAGGGAAGAGTCAAGCTCCATTAAAATGTGGTTTCTGACTGTTGTACAAGGGATGCTAGCTGAAGGCTGGTCCAGGTGGCAACTCTAAGGAGAAGAGGATCTTACAAAATAGAAGAAAGACGAGATGCACAGTAGTACATAAAATGTGTACAAGCATTTAGCACTACACGCTCCGATTACAAGAGGCAGGATGAGCCTCTTGTAATTTTCAGGAATGCAGTTGAAGGCGCCAGTGATAGTCCAGGTTTGTGTGCACAATAAGGAAAACCTTGCCAAGCATACACTTAGTGATAAGTAAACAGTAGCTGTTTACTGAAGATCACAGGAAGCTGTGCTTAGGACTGTCTGTGCCAACAGTTATGTAACACAGACCAGGAAAGGTGCTGGGGTGACAGAAAAGTACTACATACGGGTCAAAGGGGAACAACAGCAATAGAAAAAAGGGGGCTGATAACTCAGGCTTTCAGAATTTAAGGCCAGGCCCCTCTGCTTTAGGTGCCTCCCACTAAATCTCCCCTGGTGCCTGCGCTCTAACCTAGTGCATTGGTGACCTCCACTGAGTGCTGCTTATGATTCTTTTCTGCCAAGTGCTCTGTTCATAGGATGAGGTTGTGTGTATAAAAGGATAAAAAGGGTTTTGGACAGTTAGTTTCCTGGTT